ATGACTGAAGTAGGGCAAAAACTGATCTTGCTCTCAGGAGGGTGATATTTTTCGGGTTTCTGATCTCGCACTCCTAACAAGGGAACCTTTTCAGGTGTCTCGTTGAAACTTTGAAAATTTGAAGGTTATTTACGTAGAAATCGGATGGCACTTGAAATTTTTCCTAAACCTCACAATTAGTTTTCCCCTAGCGTGGGGGTATGGTTTTTTGAGAAGATTGTTTTTGTTTTTTTAAATTGAGAAGCAGCGTTTTAAGGGGTAACTCGTCAAAATAGCGCCCTATGGGCCAAAATTCTGTCTGTTCTGCTCTATTTTGTACCGTTAGACAAAAAAGTGTAAGGTTTAAGTAAACCCCTAGTAACTGTGAGGTTTAGGAAAAACTTCAAGTGCCATCCGACTTCAATTATAATAATAAATTGGAGATTTACACCTGAAAAGGTTCCCTTGTAAGAAGAGCGAGACATCTGACTCTCTCGTTCAGTGTTTTTATGGTACAAATCCACCCTGAAATTTTCAGATCGCTAGCTCAATAATTCGTTCTCGACTTATGCACACAGACATTACAACAAGCACACCCACAAACAGAATGAAACTTTCTTTTGGCCCAGTGTGAGATAGTGGGCTTGGCTATCGCTAAGCCAACAAAAAGTAAAGGGTGCGACGTGCGATATATTTATTGCCCAACAAATACCTTTCCTGGCTGAAAAATATCAAACTTAAAAAGTCAGTCTAAACGACTGCCTGAAAAAATACGAAAACACCGGGAAAACCGGGAATGTTCGCCTGTCACACGGCTTTGCCCTTACACCTACACATCAACACAAACTACACTCGCGTCTACAGTACTCTCAATCTCTCGCTCCCCAAATCCTGCGTGGGAGCTCGACGTGCGCGCGCACTTTCACTTGTCGTCACTCAATAAGGGCCCAGCCGGGCCAGCCGGGCGTACCACCCGGCGCACCGCACCGGCTGACTGGACCTCTCCATTGTGAAAACCCGAACCAATCAGGTAAAAGTAAAGTGAGCAGCCTCAGGCACAGCCCGCAGGCCCACAGGCCCGCAGGCAGGGCGACCACGCGTGGTAGCGGTGGTTATACAGCCCAGGCAATGGATTCATACACTATCAGAAGTACCAATATCACACATTGCATACAACAGAGACGACGCACCTTTCAAAGAGGAAAAATTTTCCCTTGCCATTCAGAGTGTACTGGCTGGTACTGAGGCAAATGCAAAAATTTTGTTATAAAATATTTTCACCCAGGTCCCTTTACCTCTTAAGTGTCCTTTCGCACAATTATTGGAGCAGAGTGCAGTGCAGCAGAGTGCAGAGCAGCAGGGTTCAGTGCAGCTGAGTTCAGTGGAGGACGGTGCAGTCCAGCAGAAGAGCGTAGTGCAGCGGAGTGCGGTTCAGTAGGGTGTAGTGCAGCGGAGTGCACTTCAGCCGAGTGCAGTTCAGCAGAGCGTAGTGCAGCAGAGCGTAGTGCAACAGAGTTCAGTGGAGGAGAGTGCAGTGGAGGAGAGTGCAGTAGAGGAGAGTGCAGTTCAGCAGGGTGTAGTGCAGCAGAGTGCAGTTCAGCAGAGTTTAGTGGAGGAGAGTGCAGTGCAGCAGAGTGCAGAGCGGGAGAGTGCATTTCAGCAGAGCGTATATAGTGCAGCAGAAAGAAGTGCAGCAGAGTGCGGTGCAGAGTGCTCTACTCCAGCTCGTGCGTTTAAGTCTCCGACTGATGAGCAGCTGGGAGTGAAACGTCTCCCGGGGCGGCGGCGCGTAGCTTTGCTCAGGTATCTAACGAACGAACATATGAGCATTATTGTATATGGGAGTTGGACATGGATGGCATGTTGCTTTAGCCCTTTCCCTGCCACTTGGCGTTGAGAACGGTCAATTGTTCATTGGCCATAATAAAAACACCAAGGTTTGGGAAATTCGCCGTAAATAGTTTGCCGTTCACGGCAAAAACAATGTCTCCCTCTTTTGAGGGAAAAGGGAAAATTTTGAGAAACTCCCTTCGTTTGAGGAAAGCTCCTCAGGTTTCGAGGGAAGTCTCCTCAAATAATGTGGGATATTTTCTCATTTTTTGGGGAGGTTCCTCAAAATCAGAGGCGAGATCTGAGGAGTTTTCCTCAAATATGTCAGGTCCTCAAAGTTTTCCCTATTTTCTCAACATAAAAATGAGACATTGTTTTTACCGTGTTGCCGTCCCTCTCACTCCTTTAATTTTAATTCTGATCGAACTATGGCCGCACGTTGTCAGAAGATGACCCCTCGCTTGTGTGCCCCGCGGTGCCCTGAAGCTCTTCGCTCCCGGCGCGGCGTCTCCGGGCGGCCCCCCAGCCCCCATTCCACCTCCTCCCCGCCACGCCACGCCCCAGACCGGTGCAGCGCGCGGCAGCGCGTGCATCTCGGGCTCAGGTAGTGAGGTGGTAGCGCTGTCAGTGATCCTAACGGTCTGGACTCGCTGTCGAAAGTGTCCGGGCCGGGGCGTTGGCGGAGCGGCTACTCTACCATGCGGCAGGGGCCAGTGCGCAGTTATTGACAAATAAGGCAATTTAAACAATGCGGTGCATTGTAATCCGTTAATTATTTTTTATAATGTTTTTTCCGGCACTTGAAATAAGTTTGGCCGGTGACTTTAGGCCCTTTGCGCAATGCGGCCTTCCCCGCTCGTGCATGGCACGTGCACCGTGCACGCCGCCGACGTGCTCTAATGTCTTTGTCGTGTCGTGTGTCCGGGCACGTATGACGGCTGGGCTGGGCACCGCTGGTAGTGTGGCCACCCTAAGGTCAACCCCAACCTACTTCCGGGCCTCGGGGCTCACACCTGTTACCGTAGGTACGAACCGAACAAACGGGTGTGACGGGCATTGCAGCAAAACCGCACGCACAGTGACGTATTTTTCGAAGAAAACTAGCTGTCCCATATTTCGACATTTTCTTTGTGATTGTCTTTGACAGTTTCATTTTATTCAGACAATTTTAGAGCATATTGCTGACAGCGGCTAATAGAGCGGTTCCAACATTTTTGAAGCGAATTTCGAGATGTGTTTTTAATATTTCGAGGCCGCGTGCTCGCCGTGTGCTTCCCCAGGGACATGTTTTTTTTCGCTAAGTCTCAGCCCAGTTGAGACGGCCATTACGATATCATGGTTGAACGGACTTGGAAAGAAATCTTCTCGATACATGAACCGGAATAGAAAAAAAAAGAAAGGCAGCCGGCCCACCCTCCTCGAGGTACAAAGTAAGAACTGTACTGCTCGGTACGCTTCACTTGCGCTGCAGCATGCATTGGTCAGCCCTCTCCTCCGCGCCATGAAAGGCGGCAATAATCCTATAATGGATTTCATACCAGAATTAAACGGCACTCACCGAGTCCTCTCTGCCACCGGTGAATTATTCAGACGCGACTCACTCACGGAAAACACTCCGGCGCAGAAAACGAGTCGCGTGGGTTTCGGTGCGTCTGGCCGCGCTTTGGAACGTGCCCCCCATCCGAGTACGGCGGGGCGGCGTCCACCGTGGGCCCCACCCGGGGCCGGGCGGCCCAGGGGCCCACGGCCAAGGAGAGCCCCTCCGGACACCTCCGGCCGGACAGACCGGACCGGCTCGGGAGGGCATTAGTTTCCGACAGCGGCGGCGGCGCGGCGGCGGCCCCGCGATGGGGCGGGGCGGGGCGGGGTGGCCCGCGGGCCCAGACCCGACACCCCGACACAGTCCGGTCGTTAACCCTCACGCACGGGAGCAGCGTTGTTTCGCGGCCACGGATTTGCGTTCCTGGTCGGCGACGGTTATATTATCGTATCGTCGGGAGGGGTGGCTGGTGGCTGAGCACTCCTGGACGTTATCCAAGCGATAACTCCCCTGTCAAGTCCAGTGGCGGTAAGCGTTCTCCGATTTCTCCAGTCAAACGCTGAGCGATAAATCCCCTCGCACCAATATTTTTTATCTCGGCACCATTTTTGTCACTGTTGATTCACCAATGGACGATTGGCAATCAAAAGCGTGGCGCTGGGTCGGGTGCGGCTCGCAGAGCGAGGCGTGGTGCTGCGGGGAGGGGCTGGGCGGGGTGGGGTGGGGCAGGGCCCCCTCCTCATAATGTGGACAGGACAGCAGGCCTTCCCGAAATTAGATCGAAACGTGTCCAGAGGGATGAATAGCTTCCTGCTGTGAGAACGACCTGTTTGATACACACACAAAGCCAAAGCTATTCTCATTCTCTTCTAAATTGTGTCGAAAACGCCTTTTCTTATTTTTCAGACACGTTGGAAATTATGTCGTTTAACTTGAAAAACAAAATAGTGCCTCCACATTTACGGAGAAATTTTGAACCAAAAGTCTAGATGTAATGAAAAATTCTCCAGGCTAAATAAAGTCGGACGAAAGTTATCGAAATCCATTTTAAACTTCTTTTGAACGATTTGAGCCACCTTTTCCCCCGAGACACCGAACTCACACTCCCGTTGCCAGTCCGGTTTTGTTTGTCTGTCGCGACCAAATCTGTCAAAGTCGTTGATTAAAATTGGATGCCTGGGCGATGCGAGCCCCGCCGTGTGCCAGAAACGTCTTTTCGCTAATAACTGATGCGTGTTATAAAGCGGGGATGAATCGAGTAGAGGTGGAAGGTGGAGACGGAGTGGTTGGGCTGGATCATCGCCCCTCCCAAGAGCGGGACCAGGGAGCCGTGAAACTGTCCTCTACATCGGCACTCACCTCATTGCACACAAGGACCGGAGACTACAATAACTAAAGCTACGATTGACAGATAATTCTCCCCGTTCTCGGACCTGTCTGCCGACAGTGTACTGCTGGGCCTCGGTGGGAAATAATGAGCGCATCCGACAGCCCTAGGAGGGCAGCGCCTGGGCGGCCCGTCCCCCGGCGACCTGGGCAGCCCC